CAGGCCTCTCTCATCTTTTTAAGTGGGAGAACTTGCACAATTGGTGGCTGACTAAATACTGCCCCACTGTAATAAAGATTAACTTAAGAATGTGCTTTGATAGATTTATACCTTATTTTTGCAAAAGGTGTAGCTGCTGCAAAAGACCATGATATAGGAACTACAAATCTTCATATTGAAGTATCTGACGTTGTAAACATCCTTGTCAGTGTTGGCATAGCAAAGGGGAATGGAGTCCCTTCAAAATCAGGTAAAAATAAAATCTCTCAATGTGTACATAATAATATTCATATTAGTGTATACAATAGAATCTGTAAATTTAGCATAAATCAACCCACATAGTATTTTAAAAGCCCCTAGTTTTCATGAGATTCTTCCACTTTTCAATGTATTTTTTATAATAATGGTTTGAATCCTAAGAAAGGCTCATGGGGAAAAGTTAGCAAAATCTAAAGCTAAAAGCCACTGAGAGTAATTTATATACTTTTTCCTCTCTTCAGATATTTCAATCTATGTTTTATGTTTTGGTTACATTCAACAGAAGAATGGAGTTTGTAATACAGTGTTAGCTATATAGCAAAACTTTTCCATCTTTAGAACATGATTCCATTTGTCAATCCACAGGGGTTTTAAAAAAATTTGAAGAAGAAGATTTGGATGATCTGCTAAGAAAAAGACTGAAGGATTCGAGTGAATTGCCAGGTGCTTTGTGGCATATTTATGCCAACAAGGATGCTGACAAGATAAAGGAGTTTCTACAAAAGGTTAGTTTTATTCATTTATATTTTGTATTATTAGAACTAAATAGTCTTAGTTTTAGAACTAGTTACAATGTGTGTACTTTATGCTAAAACCCAATTTCTGGACAATTATTGGCTCTATAAAAATATGAAATATATCCTGCCAAACATGACTAGTACATGTGTACTTTCTGTTGCATGAAGATTGGATGCCCCAACCAATGGCATGTGGACATAATGAAATAAATGTGATACTCACATACAGTACTGTGCAAAAGTTTTAGGCAGGTGTGAGAAAATGCTGTAAAGTAAGAGTGCTTTCAAAAAGATATAGTGTAATTGTTTATGTTTATCAATTTACAAAATGCAAAGTGAGTGAACAGAAGAAAAA